ACGGATATTAGTAAAGTGCAGTTGGGGAACAATTATGAATGCGATGTTGTAGGTGTTGGTGATGTTAGAATCAGAATGCATGATAGTATTATGTGGACATTGACTGGAGTGAAGCATGTTCCAGAGTTGAAGAAAAATCTGATTTCCTTGAGTGCCCTAGATTCAGCTGGGTATCGATATTCTTCAGAATGTGGAATTTTGAAAGTTCTTCGAGGTGCCATGGTGATAATGAAAGGAATCAAGCATAGTGGCCTGTATAAGCTTCAAGGTGAGACAGTGACGGAATTCGCTGCGGAGACATCGAATGCATCGGTTTGAGAGTCTGAATTGTGGCATATGCGTTTAGGGCACATTAGCGAGAGAATCCTGAAGGTTCTAAGTGAAAGAAATTTGCTATGTAGTTATGTTGCTGATGAACTGAATGTATGCAGGTGCTATGACTTAGATCAATAGCGAAAAGTGCAGTTCAGTGCAGTTGTCAAAGAAACCACGGAAATTGCAGAATTAATTCACTTAGATGTTCGCAAGTCGTCATGATTTCCTTCGAGGAAGAGTGCCAGATTTATGCTAACAATTGTTGATGACTACTCGAGGAAGACGTGGGTGTTTGTGCTAAGGCACAAGTTTGATGCTGTTGTCAGAATCAGGCAGTTAAAAGCTTTGATCGAAAAGGAGACTGGTAAAATGATCAAGTAGGTGCGGACTGACGGTAGTATGGGGTTTTGCTCGAAGCTGTTAAATGAATTCTGCATGAAGGAAGGCATAGTGAAACACTGCACTAATGCCAGTGAACCACAACATATTGCAGAGTTGATGAGCAAAATATTACTAGAGACGGCTCATAAAATGCTTTCTAGTATTGGTATGGCTAGGAGATTCCTGGCGAATGCGCTTAGTACGACGAGTTACCTGAAAAATAGATCCCCATCGACTGCGATTGAATGTCGAACTCCCGAAGAAGTGTGGTCAGGTAACGTTGCTAATTATTCTGTTCTTAGAATATTTGGTTGTTCATGTTATGTTCGAGTTAGTGATGGTAAGCTCGATGGAAGGACAAGAAAGTGCATGTTCCTAGGTTATGCACAAGGTAGTGGGGTATAAGTTATGGTGCCCGGAATTAAATTCACCTGTTGTCAGCAGAGAAGTTACATTTGACGAGTCTTTAGTACTTCTGGGTAAGAGTGTTAATAGCAGTGTTTATACGGATCTGGACGGTGTTTAGCTTGAGGTGGAGTTGCAATCAGAAACTCCTGAGGTAGCGGGTACTAACGAAGTAATCGACATAGATGGTGCTTGTAGCGAGGTGGAGCCTATTGAGCCAACGGTTGCTGTAACTGCTGATATTGACAAGGTGCGTATTCAATCTCAGAATAGATATGGATGCAATAATGGTTTTGCTTTATCTGCGATTGAGGAGGTTGTGTCTGAAAATCCTTGTGGAGCGGTTAAAGGTGCATGTGGAGTTGGTATTTTGATGAGATCTATGGCTATGGCGAAGTTCAAGCGATGCTTGGACTTGAAAGACATCTGTGGCGGTTGAGCCCATTGGGGCTGTAAGAGAGTAGTAGCGAAATTCGGATTCTATCAAAGCGATTGTGACTTGGCTCAAACGTCGAGCCAATATGGAGATTGTTGAAAATATGTCTCGAGTTTGAGCCCAATAAATAAAATCCAACCCGAGATTAATTATTATTTGTGAAGGTATGAATATTCTGAGTTGAATATTTTTACGGACGTTCGAAATTGAGCAATACATAAACTCTTCTTTGGGGCACACAAATTAATCTTCTGGAGTCAGACTCTTGAAGGTGAAGTCACGGCCAAGCATAGAGGCGGCCAAAGAAGAGATAAAATAGGAAAGTCAAAATTTAGTTTTGGTTGACCATATATCACTTGGATTACTTTTCCTATTGGATGAGGCTATTTTCCCGATCGAATTTTGCACTTCCTCTGGCGGTGGGTTTAATATAAATACTTATCAAGATTCCTTTGGAGAAGTCAGAGAAGAATTGAAGAGCTGCGGTTGACGTCGAGTGCTTGGCGTGGGTTTATCTCCCTGGGATTTTGTTCGTGGAATTACACGAAGAGCTCAAGTGTTCGTAGCGATTAAATCTTGTGTTAAGATTAGTGTACAATTCTTTTGCGAGATTGAGAGATTATTTCGTGAGGAATTGAGAGCTAAACACTACGTATGTTATTGGGTGTAATTGAGGCTTGGGAAACACCGAGAGTGTTTGAGTGACTCGAGTGTGGTTGTAATCTTCGTTGTATCAGTTGATCTATAATGGAATTCCGTGCTGTTGTCCCCGTAGACGTAGGTCACTACGACCGACCCACGTAAATTCGGTGTCCGATTTATTTTCTTAGTCTGTCAATTTTATTATTTGATCGCTTGGCTTCTGCAATAGTATCAAATCGATCGGTGGTGAGAACAATGAATTGATTTGTCAGACTATTATCATTGATGTTAGCCAATGCTCTCCATTTTGTATAGATGACTAAGCTAGATGATTTTAAGAATACTCAGCTAAATTGATACACCAAGTGATATAACATACTGCAAATAAATTATTAAACAAATGGGTCATATCAAGCATATTAAGAAAAGTTTGACACACGCATAGTATTCCAATTTAATAAATCAATCCGAGTATACTTTTTATTATTTTACTAGAAAATAATACCATTCATTGATCATTTAAAGAGCCGTACAATAAGCATTATTTGTTGGAGAAACGGGAGGACCATGTTTCCCTCAATCATGGACTTTCTTGAGTTATAGCAGAGCATGGATCAGGGGCAGAGTAGAGCATTAATGGCTAACCTGCAACTATATTCATTGATGATGTTTGGGAGATCCGAGCATCGATCGGGCGCAGAGCAGAGCATTAATGGCTAGCTTGCAACTACTTTCATTGATGATGTTTGGGAGATCCACGTCCTTTTCGAGGTTGCTGGCGAGATGAATGGCCACTGCTTCAATTTTTACCTCAGGCACAGAAGGTTTAAACGCTACGAGTTGGGGATTTGAGTTGGGAACTTACACTATATTTTGATCAACGGTTAAGATAATGGAAAAATCCCATCCCTGTTTCGCAAACGATCGTACTAGAGGCAACCGCTAGTTTGGGTTAACCGATTCCTACAACAATAGAAAGTGAACACGGGCTTTCTAGACAGTTCTGCAATCATGTTGGTAGAACATTAGGAATATCATGGGAGCCCCATCAACATCGACCTGCTTAAGGATCATGCTGCTCATCGAAATAGACACGTATCTCATCCATACGCCAGAGGGAGCTCACTCTTGACCATAACCAGTGTTCGCTTGACCCTAGGAATGATGCACTTGGCATCTAAGGAATGTGCACTAGACTTAAACCAGAGCGTCTATTATCATGAGAAGTATGCCCTTCGCCGTAACAAAGTGAGCAATTTATTGTGAGGAGTGGGCTTCACCCTAAAGAGCATGCACCTTATTTAGAATAGGACTGCATCTCAACAGGAACCTTGTAATTTCTGGCCAGACAACAAGTACTGTGCAAAGGAGAGGAAGAAGGTACAAATTGACAAGATTGAAGGCATTGTTAGTAGAGAAAGTGTTGTGCCTGAACTATTAGTGTGGTCTTTTTCCCCTAGTACTAAGCGTTGAAATATTTAATTGGGGAGGCAAATAGGGACTTAGAATATTTGAACTCAGAACCTCTTGCTCTGATATCATGTGAGATTTGATTGGACCATAGCCAACTGTTCTAAAAGCTTAAACTGTTAGCTGAAGGCATAATTTATTATTTAATTATTCCAATAGTACCCAAGTCAAATCTTTTTTTCCCGTCAATGAAGCATATATCCAAGCAATTACATTGTTGAACTAAGACAATATATGATCCATTATACGCTCGTTTGATCTTAACTAGTAGGATGTCACGTACATCACACATGTTAAGATAATATATGTTTTTGACAATGTACATAAATTAAATCTAATTAAACATGATTTGAGGATTCTTTATTATTCGACTTTTAAGTGTTATTAAGTAAGGGATATATATGTGAATTTCAAGAGAATCATTAAGAAGACGAAGCAAACCGACTTCTCTTGTTAATAGTACATAATGAGATAATTCTTCATTATTTATCAAATCTTTTGTAAAATCATTGAATTTTCTTCAACATGAAATTGAAAAGCACTCGTGCGAGAAAAGGGATAACAATAACAGACAAACTATACATAAAATAGCAATGAAAATTGAAAAGTTATATATATAGAGAGGGAGTAATGAATAAATTATTTGCGCAAAAGAGCAATGAAAATAGAGAAGTAATATTGGAATGAGTTAAATGGACGGGCGGTGGGAAAATTGTCAAATCAGTCCTAAACCTATTGTACGGCGGCCAATTCAGTCCTAAACCTTTTAATTTTGCCAATTCAGTCCTAAACCTTTCTAATTCTTGCCAATTCAGTCCTTCCGGCCAATTTTGGCCGGCCGGCGCTGACGTGGCCGCCGGCCGTCCGGCCAACACTGACATGGCAATTTTTTATTATTATTTTTTTCAAATTTTTAATCTTTTTTTTTTTTTTTTTTTTTTCGATTTCTCCCCTCCGTGCCGTCCGGCTGACCGCGACCGGGCCGGCCGGCCGAGGGGAGGGCCGCGAGGTCGACCTCGCCGGCCTCGCCGTCGCGTCGCCCAGCTCAGCAGCGGCGAGGCCGACCTCGCCGTCGCGACCCAGGCGACGGCGAGGCTCGACCTCGCCGTCGCGAACCAGGCGACGGCGAGGTCGGCCTCGCCTCAGCAGCGGCGAGGCCGGCGAGGTCGACCTCGCTGGCCCTCCCCTCTGGCCGGCGCTGACGTGGCCGCCCACGAACAAAGCCATGCCCATCGGAGAGCTCTTTCTTGGCGCCTTTCTCTAGGTGCTGTTCGAAAGGTTGGCCAATCATGAGCTGCTCAACTTTGTGCAGCGCGAGGGGATCCATACTCTGTTGGAGAAATGGAAGACGATGCTGGAGAGTATCAAGGAGGTGCTGGATGATGCAGAGGATAGGCAACTCACAGGCCATCTCGGGGTTAAGTCGTGGCTAGAAGATCTCAGGAACTTGGCCTACGATATCGAAGACTTGCTTGATGAGTTCACCATAGAATCCGCTAAAAGCAAGTCCAAGGCAGAACTTGGTGCTAGCAAGGCGCGTTCCTTTCTTCCCAGTTGTTGCTTCGGATTGAGCCCGAGAGCATGGATGTTTGACCACGAAATGAGATCTAAGATAGAGAAGATGGATAATACGTTACAGGAGATCATAGCTCGTAAAGATGGTATGAGCCTGAGAGAGAACAAGAGAAAGCGATCAGCATATCGCCAGCTGGATAAGCCGATTTCCACTACGAATTTGCCAGAGCCTTATTTCGTTAGTAGGGAGGATGACAAAAGGGAGATCCTCAAATTACTGACCGGAGAAGAAGACAATAGAACATGTGTGGATCTAAAAGTGATTGCCGTCGTAGGTATGGGTGGTGTTGGAAAGACGGCTCTCGCTCAGCAAGTTTACAATGATGCTAGAGTCACCGACTATTTCGATGTGAAAGCATGGGCTTGCATTTCCGATGATTTTAATATGCTCGCTATTACAAAGAGTATCCTCCAGAAAACCAACTCCACTTTGTCCTATGAAAAAAAGGACTTCGACTGGCTACAGGATAAACTCAAGGAGAACCTTTCGGGGAAGAAGTTTCTTGTCATTTTAGATGATATTTGGAACAAAAATCCTGGAAAGTGGGCTAAATTCTTGAAGCCTTTTAGTTCGGGAGCAAAGGGAAGCAAGATCATTGTCACCACTCGTGATTCTCACATTGCTAAAATAACCCATGCTAAAGAGTATCCTCTCAAAGAGTTGTCACAAGATGCTTGTATGACTTTGTTGGCATTTTATGCTCTTGGAGTCAAAAATTTCGATCATCATCCCAATCTTAAAGTATTAGGTTGAAAAATTGCGGAAAAATGTGGAGGTTTGCCATTAGCTGCGACGACATTGGGCGGGCTGCTAAGCTCTAAAGTCAGTCCCGATGAATGGGAATTTGTATTGAACAGCAAAATTTGGGACCTACCAGAGGAAAGTAATGACATCATTCCAGCTTTGAAACTTAGCTACCTCCACCTCCCTTCAAATCTGAGGAGATGTTTTGCTTATTGTGCTATATTTCCCAAGGATTATGAAATCGAACGGGATGAGTTGATTCGTTGGTGGTCTGCAGAGGGCTTGTTGGAGGGAGAAAAACGAAAGAGCCGTTGGAATGCAGGTTTGAATTATTTCAACGCGCTAATATCTAGATCGTTATTTCAAAAGTCGAGTAGCTATGAGTCACGATTTTTTATGCATGATCTTGTGAATGATCTGGCAAAGCTAGTTGTAGGTGCAACTTATTTTGACTTGGGGGAGTTTAAGGATGATGACAATAATGCATCTTTAGCTTGTCACGCCTCATTCATTTCCGACAAATATATTCTGCCAGAAAAATTCAAGATATATCATGGAATGAAGGGACTTAGGAGCTTCATATCATTAAATAAATCACCAGTCTTAGTGTCCCAAAAGGTGCTATGTGACTTGTTGTCAACATCGAAGTACCTGAGGGTGCTTTCATTAAGTCAATACCAAATCACAGAGGTACCGGAATCCATTGGCAAACTGAGGCACCTAAGGCACCTTAATCTATCATATACTTGTATTAAAAAGCTTCCAAAATCAATTGTTGCATTGTACAACCTAGAGGCTTTGATGTTGAGGGGCTGCGAACACCTTATTGAATTACCAGAAGGTATGGAAAAACTTATCAATCTGAAATTTCTCGACATTACCGACACTAAGATCCTAGAAGTGATGCCGCTGTATATAGGTAATTTGATGGGTCTTGAGATGTTGTCTAAGTTCGTAGTGGGAACAAGAAATGGCTCAAGGTTGAAGGAGTTAAAAAACCTAAAGAACCTTGAAGGGGAATTGTGCATCTCTAATTTGCATATGGTTCAAGACCCCAAAGATGCCATCGATGCCAATTTACACACAAAGAAGGGAATATGTTGGTTGACCATGCAGTGGAGTAGAGATTTTGAAACTTTCCGGAATGAAGAGCTTGAAGTAAAGGTCCTTGACTTTCTTCGACCTCACAAAGGCCTTGAAAAGCTTGAAATTTCCTACTACAGTGGCCTAGAATTCCCATCATGGTTAGGATGTCCCTCATATGCTAACATAGTGCACTTACTTTTACACAGGTGTCAAAGGGTCAAAGCATTACCATCGCTCGGGCAGCTATCTTTACTGAAAGATCTGTACATCGAAGGTTTAAATGCAATATGCACAGTAGGGTCTGAATTTTATGGAAGTAAAAGTCCTTTTCCGTCCTTAATAACTTTGGAATTCAAGGAGATGCCATTGTGGAAGGACTGGTCTCATTGTGTCGGCACTGAAGAAGTAGGAGTTATATTCCCTCGACTTGAGCATCTCGTCATTCGACGCTGTCCTGTGTTGGTCGGAAGATTGCCTAGTCAATTAAGCTCCCTCATAAAGCTTGAAATCTACTCTTGTCCGTGTATGGATGCATCGTCCTCTATCACGAGCCTCCCATCTCTCAATGAATTAGACTTTAGAGGTTGTAATGAGAAAGTGCTGAAGAGACTGGTAAACCTAGCATCTCTAACTGCACTTGCCATATATAATGTTTCTGATTTGACTTGCTTAAATCATGGGTTTACAAGCTCCTTGACCAAGCTGGAGAAGTTGACGATCGGATGGTGTACAGAGTTAATATACTTGTGGCAAGACAGAGATGTAATTCGGAATCTCGCTTGTCTGAAGAGCTTGCTCATTGGACATTGTCCGGAATTTAGATCTTTTGTCGCTGGAGAAGGAGATATAGAGCTGCCTAGCAACCTCGAGACTATCGTATTGATAAATTGCGTCAATTTAGAGAAGCTCCCAAGCAAGATGCACACCCTCTCTTCTCTTAAAGGCTTGACGGTCTATGATTGTCCGAAACTCATGTCCTTCCCCGGAACTAGTATTCCTACATCAGCGATATCATTAAACATCAGCCAGTGCGAGATGTTGCAATCTCTACCCAGAGGAGGATTAAGTGTTCATCTGGATGAACCAAGCAGCAGCGGTAGCAATACCCACGGTGATAGTATCTCTTGTCTGCAAGACTTAAGAATCTCCGGATGCCATTCTCTGCCAGCCTCTCCATTCAGCGATGGTAGATTTTTACCCGCCACCCTCAAGAAACTTGAAATTAAGGAGTGCGGGGGAGTGGAGTCGCTCGCAGAGATAAATGTAGACGGTCTTCAGTCGCTTCAAGAGATTACAATTAGGGATTGCGAGAATTTGAGAAGCTTACCCCAGGGCCTACACACACTGTCCCATCTCACTTCATTGCATTTGTGGACCTGTCCTGCTCTGGAGCTGGAATGCTTCCCTCCTCTTCCTACCAGCATCTCAAGCTTTCATCTTAGTAATTGTCCGAAGATAAAATCATTACCTAATCGGTTGCATCGACTCACACATCTTCGTAGTCTGGAAATTGGATGGTGTGAGAGTATTACGCAATTCCCAGACGGAGGATTGCCGCCCCAACTAAAGAAACTTTCTTTATCTAATTGCGAGAATATAAAGCAGCCGGTGGGGGAGTGGCTTACCCGTCTTACCTCCCTTGAATGGCTGTCGATCAGAGGCAGCGTTGGAGGAGCGGGAGAGGAGGAGAATCTCGTGCTTCCGCTCCCTCCCTCTCTGCTCGATCTCTATATCTTGCGTATGGGGAGAGTGGAAAGACTGTCCAGCAGTCTCCCTCCCTCTCTACGGATGTTATGGATCGAAGATTGCCGGAAGCTGAGGGAGTTGCCCCAGGATGGCCTCCCTCCCTCCCTAGAGTGGCTCTACATCTCTGGATGTGGGATTCTGGAGCGACAATGCAAGAAAGAGACCGGCTCCTATTGGCCCCTCATCCGCGAAATCCCGCTTGTTTCATTAGAGGGTATAATTATCTAAGCTGGCTCTTTGAAAAGGGGTTCGTATTTTAGGCCCAAAATTATGTCACTAAAAAAAAATGTGTGCTTTAAAAAAAAAGTTGTGGAATGCACTTGACTAATTTCCCGTATTTCTGATTCTGATAAAATGCGAAAATTACTTGTGTAGCATTCACCAGATTAGGAAGGAACTCGGTATTAATTTTCTGTCTACATTTACCGATATAAAGTACTCATTCCCACACACGCAATCTTATCATTTCTGAGCATAGTGTGATGCACTTCGAAATCTATGGGGCAAACAGATTTATTGCGCCTCAACCCTTCCATTCCAGCATTTTACTCACCATCCAAGATTAAGGAATGGTTTATTTGGTTCTAGTACAGACACAAATGAAGGTGTTTCGTGGACTGGGTAGCGCTCAATGAAATCTTTGCCCATTGTTCATTTTGATAACTTTTCATATTCTGCTTCATGGAATCAAAGATGCATAGCCCTGGAGTCGCTGGTTGGCAAAGTTTAAAGGGTGAGTGGATCTGTTTCTGCTATTTCTTTTGACTTGCTGTTTAAGAGGCGGGTAATGATCATGGGGTATAATCAAAATCTAGAAAGAATCTCTTCTGAAGGATTAGCATATTGTCCGCATTCTACTTGTTCATTTCTAGTATTTTATCAATGCACGTGTCAAAATGGTTTAAAGTTTCTTGTCTGTTATGTTGTTTGTTATCATTTCCCTGATTATCTCATTGACATGATTACGTACATCTTCTGTCGTGCGTGTGTAAGGGAAAGGATTGGTTCTACGGAAGGGGAGTGTTAAGTTATACGTTATATATACATTGCTCGGCACGTTTCCTAACAGCTTAAGCTTTTTAAAAATGCATTTGTCTAACATGCAGCAATCAAATCAAACAGCATGACCAATCAGCCAACCCTATGTTCTTGTTTGGCTCTTTCTTCTAGTAATTGTGGATTATTTGGAAGACTTTCAGACAAGGATTATAAGCCTCTCATGAATTCATCGAATTACAACAAGATTTAAAGCTTGGACAGTTGAAAGCCGCTCATATGCCAGCAAACTTCAACTTGTTGAATATGTTATTCATAGTCTGGTTAACTATTAGTGTCAACTCTTTTTGTTGCCCAAGAAAGTTTTTGAAATGGTTGAGCGGAAGTGTAGAGCTTTCCTTTGGAAGGGAGATCCTAATGCTCAAGAGGGAGCAAAAGTTAGACTGGACACTGTCTGTCTTCCTAAGCAGTTTGGAGGCCTTGGCCTTCGAAGACTGGATTTGTGAAATCTTGCTTGTATTTTAAATTGTCTGTGGAGTATTTTGTTGAGGTGTGGTCTCTATGATTTGCCTGGCTCTATAGCTATCATCTCGATTGTAAACCAGATGCTGCTTATGCTTGGAAAAAGTTACTAAAAGTCGGGAATATTTTGAAACCCCGCATTAGATATATAGTGGGTAATAGAGATAATATTTCTCTTGGTATGATTTGTGACACCATGCTGGGATTTTGCTGGAATCATTTCTCAAGGAGAATAACTTATGAATCTTCTCTTCCTTTGCAGGCCAAAGTATCTGCTGTATTTCGTAACTCTCATTGCCTGCTGCTAGGTCTAGAGAGTTGGTCTCCATCCAAGCTGCTGTTTGTGGTGTGAATTTTCCTAATTCCTCAGCTGCAGAGAATGTTGTATGCACAGCTTCTTCAACTGGTTGCCTCAACTCTTTTGTTGCTTTGGAAATTGTCAGAAACAAGAATGCTCGGGAAATTGGCAGAGACTTGTGTGGTTATTTTCTAATGTACCAAGACTTGGCTTTAATTCTTGGTTAGTAATACATGATAAACTCCATACTTTTGAGTTGATTAACTGTTGGTCTGTTGGGAGAACAAGATCTCTCTGCTTGTTCTGTAATCTAAGCATTGATTGTCGTTCTCATCTAATTTTCGAATGTAGTTTCTCTAATGAAGTACAGAGGAAGGTCTTAATTCTGTCAAACTAATCATTGAATCTCGATGTCATCTAATTCTCGATGTTTAATCTAATCAACATTATCGTATTCTCTGTTAAGCATAGTTTTGAGCGTTGCCTTGGTCTCAAAATAAGATTGCACCAATAAGCATTGTAGGTCGTTTCTTGCTTGGAATCTAAGTTTTTGAAAACTATCCAGCTAGAGTGATTAAGGCTTGTTTGAGGTTGTGCATATTGTTGTTTTTTGGTGTGTAAAGTTGCATGATTTGCTCGGAAAACTATCCAGTGATGGCAGATAGATGTCAATTTCAATCATCTCCTTTGAGGGTCCAATTTTTATAAGGTCCAGTTACTGACCTTCGCATTTCTTTAGACAGTTATCGGAGGAAGAAGCACAATCGATGAAAAGGAGCTGTTACAAGATTAAAAAGAGAATATTTATTGACTTAGGCTCCGTTCGTTTGGCGGAAAATATTCTCCTTTTGGAAAATATTCTTCCGGAAGTCATTTTCCTGGAAAATGTTTTCCCGGAACATAATTTTCCGGTGTTCGGCGATCAATATGAAAAAGTTTCGGAAAATATTTTTCGCCGGTGACCGGCGGCGAAGCGGGCGGCGGCGTCCGGCGGCCGGCAATCTGCGACCGGCGGCGGCGGCGACCGACGGCCAACGTCCGGCGGCGGCGGCGGCGGCAGCGGGCAACCGACGGCCAACGTCCGGCGTTCGGCGGCGGCCGGCGACCGGCGGCGGCGGCGGCGGCGGCCGACGACCTTAGTGAAGAAGAAGAAGAAGAAGCTCCGGAAAATGATTTCCGCTTTTGAAGAAGCGGAAATCATTTTCCGTAGACTTAGGCTATTTTGTGAGGGGGGGAAGGAAAATATTTTCCCACGGAAAACCCGGAAAATATTTTCCGGGAGAATATTTTCCGCCAAACGAACGGAGTAGATTCAAAGAGAGACTTCACAACAATTTTTTTTTTTTGCATCCATGATAATTTCACTCGGTTACATCCGTAGGAAATTGAACCTTTAAATTCGAACTTTTTTCTTGGAGTTGTTCGCCATAATATCCTCAGCATTTAATTAAAGAAATTATTTGGAACGGTTGGTGGTGTTTGTGCTTGTATTTACTTTAAAAAGCAAGTTTGCCGATGAAGGCCTCTCCCAAGAAGCAGCCCTACGTCTTTGCAAGAAAATCCAACTTAATGAAGCCTTTTCTCCTTTGCTTATTTCTTTAGGACCATTGAAGGAAAGTTCTCGAACATTTTGAACGACCCCATGTCGATGATGGTCGTCGGTGAGGGAGTCTTATAAACAACCTATGGACTTTTGTAAACTTATTTAATATTAGAGCATTCACGAAAAGTAGTAGATGTTAATCAACGGCAGCTACTCGACTTCATCGCAATCTTCAAGCTACTTGACTTCATCGGAATCTTCCAATCTTGTGATTATTCAAATCATATCGTGATTGTTGTTAACTGATAGAACTGGTACTTCTTATGCGCTATATGAAAAAGTTCAGCCTTGAGCGGTCTTTCCTTTTTGATAATTATAAAATCCCTGCAATGGATGGGCGACGTCTCTAATTTCAAAATAAGATGGAGCGTAGTGATTTAACCACTTATGCTTCGAGCAATTGATTGTCTTATGCATCATTGTACTTTTAAGATGTGTTATTCCTTCCAGCTTTAATGAAGACACAAGATAGATGTGCAGAATTCGAAGCTAGACTTCTTTTTGCATTTGTAGGTTAGTATTTTCGAGCAATTTGCTAGTAAATTAGCATCTCTGAATGAAAAGCTGATCGGAATCTTATAAACAACCAATGGACTTTTGTAAAGTTATTTAATATTAGAGCTACTCGACTTCATCGGAATCTTCCAATCTTGTGATTATTCAAATCATACATCATGATTGTTGTTAATTGATAGAATTGGTACTTCCTATACACGCTATATGAAAAAGTTCTGCCTTGAACGCTCTTTCCTTTTCGATAATTATAAAATCCCTGCAATGGACGGGTGATGTCTCTCAAAGATTGCGTGTAGTGATTTAACTGCTTATGAGCAATTGATTGTCTTGTGCCTCATTGTACTTCTAGGATGTATTGTTCCTTCTAACTTTGATGAAGACACTGGATAGATGTTCAAAATTCAGAGCTAGACTTCTTTTGGCATTTGCAGGTTATTGTTTTCAAGCAATTGCGAGTAAATTAGGGCACGAATGATAAAATTTCTCTTCTCCGGCCCTATTTCTGGCTAGTAATAAAAAAAAATCTATTTCTATTCCTCGGACGAGTTTTTAAGCAAAACATAGCATTTGATAACAACACAAGTTCCTAGAATAGAAAAATGTTTGATAGATTATTCTTAAATTTCTTTCCCGGCGGCCGGCGAGCAGCGAGGGCGGCTGGCGGGTAGCCGACGGTGGAGGAAGGGTGGCCAATGGCCGACGAGTGACGGCGGATGGTAGGCGGCGGGTGGGTAGCGAGGGCGAGCAATAAAAGAGAGTTGTTATTTTTATTTTTGTTCTAAAAATAGAAAAGTAGAAAATTTTAACTTCTTATTTCTATTCCAAATATATTTCTAGGATAAAAGTTTGTCTAAGAAATAGAAAAATGAAATTATTATGCCAAACGTATTTCTGTTCCAAGCCTGTTCCTAGGAACAAAAAAATAGAAAAACAGTAAACAGAATGGTTATTATTTGCGCCCTTGACAACATTTCTCGGCCCTACTTCTAGCTAGAAGTAGAAAAATCTATTTCTCTTCCCCATATGAGTTTCTAAATAAAAAGTAGCGTTTGATAACGACATAAAATTTATGTTTCCGGAATAGAAATTTGTTTGCTAGGTTATAATTAAATTTCTATTCCTGGCGGGTAACGGGCGGGCGGCAGCAGACGGCCAACGAGCGGCGATGGACGGGTGGCACGCGGGCTTACTAATTTGTGACAAATTTACCCTTCAGTAGTTTCCATTAAATTTTACCTTCAAATTGCTGAGTTTGATGACACATAATAGTTAATAGGTGTACCAATTTAGGGTTTTATCCCTCTATTTGTCACAGGTTTACCAATTTGTGATTTTTTGTATATTAATCCAATCTTACGGAGGGTAAATTTGTCATAAATGTACCAGTTTGAGGTTTTTTGTGGTCAAAAACTTATTTTAGGATAAATTTATCACAAATGTACCATTTTTGGATTTTTGGTGGTCAAAAAATTAGTTCGGGGTAAATCTGTTGCAAGTGTACCAATTCGGGATTTTTTGTGGTATTAATTAAAAAAAATTGATAGCAACAGTAACAGGAGACCCAACAAAAAGCGCCAGTAGTAGCTACTTCAACAGAACCTAAGACCCCACCAACCACAAATACAAGTTTATTATCCAAATGAGATAATTCACTGCACAAAAACAGACGGGACAGCAAGCTACTAGGACATCTTAAGCACGCTTCGAGCATAAGAATGTGATAATCCAACATGAAATCGATGCGAGTCCAAAGCATCGGTTTCCTACGTGTATATACATGCTGAGGAGGTCCGAGTAACACATAAGTAACACCAAACAACTACCAACTTTACTTGACTCAAATTTGGGCAACATGGAATTGTAGCATTTTTTATGTGTTTCGTGAGGTTACTAGCAATGATCATCTAGAGGTGGGTGAATAGGTGATTTGAAATAATTCTTGATCAATTTAAAGTGGAAGTAAAAGATTAAGAATAAAGTATGAAAAACGTTCAGATTTAAAACAGATTTTGATAGCAATTGTGCAATGTAATAAATAAAAGGAGCTTTAAGGGATGAAAAAATCTGCACACAAGACATATAGTGGTTCGGCTTAGATCAAGCTAACGTCTACTCTCCCTTGCTGATAGCCTATTGGCTGAATTCCGCTAATCAAATCAATGAGAAGTTACAGCAAGTTATGCCGCTTAATCCCAAGATCTTCTATCTGACCAAAAAAAAAGAAAAACTCAAGCACTTCTCCTCAAAGCTGGTGCTGCTTATACCAAGCCGACATATCCCACTATCTCACACCTAAACACACACTTATGACATTGTCTACACCTCTCAATTGATTACACTTTACATCTCATGAAAGATATGTTCTTGGCGCCTTTCTCTGGGTGCTATTTGATAGGTTGGCCTCTCGCGAGCTTCTCAACTTTGCGCGGCGTGAGGGTATCAATATTCTGCTGAAGAAATGGGAGAAGATGCTGATCAGTATCAAGGGGGTGCTGGATGATATAGAGAACAAGCAATTGAGCGGCGATCTCGGGGTGAAGTCCTGGCACGAAGATCTCAGGAACTTGGCCTATGACTTCGAAGACTTGCTTGATGAGTTCGCCACAGAATTCATGAAAAACAGGCCCAAGGCAGAATCTAGCACTAGCAAGGTGCGATTCCTTCTTCCGAGTTGTTGCTTCATATTGAACCCGAGAGCATTTATGTTCCACCACACAATGAGATCCAAGATGGAAGAGATGGATGTTAGATTACAGGAGATCATAACTCTAAAAGATAGTCTGAGCTTGAGAGAGAATATTAGGAAGCGATCGGCATATCACGGATTGCATAAGCCGTTTCCCACTACGCATTTGACCAAGGAATTTTTTGTTGGTAGGGAGGATAAAAAAATGGAGATTATTGAATTACTGACCGGAGAAGAAGACAATAGAACATGCATGGATATAAAAGTGATTCCTATTATAGGGATGCCTGGTCTTGGGAAGACAGCTCTGGCTCAGCAAGTCCACAATGATGCTAGAGTCACCTACTATTTTGATGTGAAAGCATGGGCTTGCGTGTCCGTCGATTTTGACGTGCTTGCTATTACAAAAAGTATTCTACAAACAACTAACGGCCATTGAACCTGTGAAGGTAAGGATCTAGATTGACTTCAAGATAAGCTCAGGGAAGAAGTTTCTTATCGTTTTAGATGATATTTGGAACGAGAATTATGAA